GTCCGTGCCATCTCCATCTGCGTTAATATAACTGCATCTTCTTTCAATTGTCGTTCAACTTCTTCTTTGTATTGATCACCAGTAATACCCATCGCACGAACATTGTCAAATATACCGGTACTAGTAAAAATAGTAAGGGCGTAGGATTTTTTGGCAGGATCAGATATGTCTAATGCCCATTCCATGTGTGATTTTAGTAGGGTAGGATCTGCACCTGTTGAAAACCCACAAAAATTCGCATTGAGATTTTGGGGAATTGAAACGTTATGCCAAAAACGTTGTGAGTAACGCATGACAACACTTGCTATATAACCAATTGGCTGATTGAATAAATTTGTGCGTTCCTGACAAATAACAGGAATATCATTAAAGGAAGTAAAATTGATTTGACCAGTGACCCCAGGAGTAACACATATAGCTACAGTTCGAGCAACAAATTTAGTTCCATTTTTACCCCGAACAATGAGTTCTTGATTTGGACATGTTTTGACTTCAATAACTGGAAAGTTAAGTAAAATATCCCCACGAATTTCCTTACTGTAGAGCTGAGCTAATCCACCCATACCGCACTCAACAGAGAATTCTTGTGGTCCACCAACTGTATCTTTTGTAACCTCGTCAAAGAACCCGCCATTGGTCACACTGTACCAGAGAAAATGGAGTAGACTCAAATCCTTAGGGTCAATACTCATCATATTTCGCACACCCATAATCCATAATTCAGCAACCCATGGATGAAGTTTTTGAGCATCTATCCATTCTTGTACATTCCATTTATCCAACCAATAAGCACACCAACTTAAACTCGGATAAGCACCATTAATAAGGTTCTCCAGTGCATACACGAGAAGCACCGTTTTACATAGGGACAACTTTTTTAACCACGAAGCATTAATATCAAGACATTGAATACCATTCCAACAAGTTTCAACAGAAGTATCGTACCACTTTCCTTCAGAATATGCTCGAAACCATGGATTGTGGCCATAAATTTTAGGATTACTTCTTAAAGAAGATAGACGAGAAGCTATGCTGTATATATGCGTTTGTTTTACTCCTATGTATTGAGCACCAAATCCAGCTGATGATTCCCCATTTGGACCAACACATGCATTTCGACAACGACCACCTATTTGCTCACTGGCCTCTAGTACAAGTACTTTTGCGTTTGGATCTTTCTTTTCTAACTCGATTGCAGTGGAAATGCCAGCAAATCCACCTCCAATGACAATTAGATCGTATAGCATTTTGTA